CGACTCGAGGCTCAAACTCACAAACTGCGAGATCATGTCCTGAGCTGAAGTCGGACGCTCAACCAACTGAGCCACCCAGGCGCTCCTTTTTTAAATTTTTTTAATGTTTATTTATTTTTGAGACAGACAGAGCATGAGTGGGGGAGGGACAGAGAGAGAGGGAGACACAGAATGTGAAACAGACTCCAGGCACTGAGCTGTCAGCACAGAGCCCGACATGGGGCTCGAACTCACAAGCTGTGAGATCATGACCTGAGCCGAAGTCGGACACTTAACTGAGTGAGCCACCCAGGCGCCCCAAGTATCTCCCATTCTTAATATTGATTTTTTTGTATGTGTAAAACATCGACACGACTCCAGAGATGAAAGCTGTAGTAAGAAGTATGCACAGGAATGTAATAATCTCTTAAAGGCCATTAGATGTTCGCCAGAGTAAGGCCTGAAAATTGTAAACTTGGTTCCTCGTGATTTGGGGAAGACAGAACAGTGGGGATCGATGTTCCTTGGTAAGTGGCTCAGGTTGGCAGAGTACCAGCCTTGCCTGTGTTTTTAGTTGTAGAACCAGGACAGCAGAATATGACTTGGTTGGAGGTGATCAGCTCAGCTGCCATTTTGGCTCCATCCTGCAGACGACAGGGCTACAGTACAGGGACTTCATTCACATAAGCTTTCATGACAAGGTAGGTGTAACGGCGCTTCTGAACTTCTTTGGGGTCCTGTAGTCCTTTGAGATTCTGACAGAAGTTACAGATTTTTTTTTTTTTTTTATGTTTATTTACTTTTGAGAGAGAGAGACAGAGACAGAGTGGGAACGGGTGAGGGGGAGGGGAGCCACAGAAGAGTCCAAAAGCAGGCTCAGGCTCCGACTGTCAAACACAAACCCAAAACACGCAGGGGCTGGAACCCACTACAAACAGCAGATCATGATCTAGGCAAAGTGGATAACAACCAACCAGAGCCCCTGAAATTCTGAATTATTTTCCCCAGAAAAACGTACATGGGGAGACACACACACACACACACACACACACACACTTTGCATACTGTTTCAGCTTAACGTAGATGGAGCCAGAAGTCTTCATAGAGATGCTGTACTGTGTTTTTGGTTTGGTTTTAAGTTTATTTATTTATTTTGAGAGACAGCTTGCTAGTAAGCAGGGCGGGGACAGAGAGAGAGGGAGAGTCCCAAGCAGGGGCTTAAACTCCCGAACTGTGAGATCATGACCTGAGCCGAAACTAAGAGTCAGTCACTTAACCGACTGAGTCCCCCCGGATGCCCCTGCACCGTGTCTGCACATAGCCCGCCTCCTGTTGAAGGACAGGGAGCTGCACTTGGCAGTCGTGGTTGCGGAACCGTTAGCAACGGGGGCCGGCCTAACTCTGTATTCGCAGCCACACGTTCTTACCCTCGGTACCTCCTGCCTCTTTCCCTCGCCCTCAGGTCTACGAGCTTCCCTTTTTAGTGGCTCTGGACCACAGGAAGGAGTCCGTCGTGGTGGCAGTGAGAGGAACCATGTCTCTCCAGGTAGGGAGCCCAGGGACGAGGGGTGGGGCGAACGGCCAGCCGCGGGCACCAGGAGCTGAGGATCAAGGCGGCGTCAGACAGGGCAGCATGCGTTGGGGGGGAACACTGGGACAGAAGCTGCCGAAGCAGACCCCGGTTGTGAGACACTCCCTTTGGAAAAACCCAGGAAGTCGTTTTCCTTTTCACTGAGAAGCATCAGAAACAGACTGGCGGGGTTGGGGAGATGGGGGGCTTCCCTTCAAGAAGTTGCTACAGAGGCGCCTGCCAGTCCCCTCCTGGTGCTCACATGCGGACGCCTGGAGGACTGCCACTTACCTGTCCCCAGCCCAGCGAGACCTCTCCCGTCCTGTCCCGGGGAGATCCTGGGTGGCTTTTTTCTCCCTGTTTCCGTGACGTGCTTTTCGGTCTGTTCTTGGCCGTTCCTCAATCTCATTTCCTGATTCCCACTTTGCTGCCGCCCCAGAAAGTGTAGAGAGACCTTGACCCTCTGCAGGGCGGGGGTGCACCTGGGGGTTCTGGCCGGACACCGCAGGCACCTCACCTCCTCCAGACCCGCTGTCTGAGCCCCGATTTCTGGTAATTCTGCAGCAGCCCCCAGCTGTCCCCTATAGAAAGGGTGAAGCCGTCCTCGGTTTCTGTCCTGCCTTCCTGCCCGGCTCTCTCCGGCCATCTCTCTGTGCACAGTGCCGTAGCCCTGATTGTGTCCCCGTCCCCTTTTCCAGGCCAGGGAAGCAGTTTTCTACCCGGGTCCCCGTCCCTGGTCTTTCATTTTCCCAGTCAGTCCTCATACCGTCCACAGAGACTCTTTCCAGAATGTGGGTCCGATCTTCCCACTCCTCAGGACCTCCCTCACCGCACCCCCTTCCCCGTTGCTTTTTAATACAGAATTCATGTCTCTTATCATGGCTCTATCGGAGCTTTGTGACCCGAGCCCCCCTGCCTTTCCACTTCCCACCAGGCACTCCACATGCTCCGGAGTCCCATCCCTGGTGGGTTAGCCAAGCTGGGGCCTGCTGCCCCTTCACCTGGGGTTGCCCACCTCCCTGTTTCCTGAAAGTAAGTTTCTCCTTTAGTCTCTGGCGTCACCTCCTCCAGGAATCACCCCCACCCCAATGCATTTCTTACCCTCCCTTAGGTTTCTGTGAGCCGTTGATAGCCCCTTGAGGATAGGAACCATGCTTTGTTCAAAACCCAGGTACAGGGCTCTGCTCTGTGGTACTTAGAAGAGGGGTGTACAGAGTACTTAGGCAGGAGGTGTGTCTTAGACGTGTCCCACAGCCCCCTCCCTGCCATGGGTCCCTCAGGCTTCCTGGCCACCTGGGTTTCCCTCCTGAGTTTGGGTGTGAGGTTCAGTCCTCAGTCTGACCCAGGAGACTGTCCTTCAGAGGGACCCGCCCCACAGCGTCTGCTCTCAGCTCATCCCGGCGGCCTCTTCCAATGTGCTCTTTGCAGGACATCCTCACGGACCTGTCAGCGGAGAGCGAGGACCTGAACTTGGAGTGTGGGGTGCAAGACTGTTCGGCGCATAAGGTACGAGCCCTGGGGTTTGTGTTCAGGAGTGTTCCGTCCAAGAGAAGCTCAGAGGGGCCAGGGTTTTTCCAAGTCTGACTGTCCCGTGAATGCTAACCTGCTAACCGTACAGCAGATAGCCAGTGCCGAGTGAGTGCTCTCTTCCCCTTTAGTACCAATTCCCACGACAGTCCCACCAGGTTGCTTTTTGTTTCTTTAAGAGGAAGCAGCAGGTTCTGAGCCATCGAGGGACTTACCAGAGGCCACACAGTTGTTAGGATAAGTGTCACTCGGCATTTGACCCCCCAGTCGAATGCTCTTCCCTTGATGAAAGTCACACATTGTCGTGGGGAAGTCGAGGTCCGAGGAGCGTCCAGCGCACGTGAGTCTCCCGCCCAGGAGCCCCAAGGGGCCCCGCAGCCCCATCCTGTCGCCCGCGGGTTTCCTGTGCAGAGGACACAACACACGAGTTCTCGTCTTGTTGGTTCTGTGCCGGTGGCGTGGGGCTGCGGGCTCCTCCTCCAGGAACACAAAGGGCCTAGAGCAGAGGTGGTTTTTTTAAACGGTTTCGATGACGTGACATGGTATCTGTCACATTAACCACTTGTAAGCGTACGGGTTGCTGGCGGTAGATGGATTCCAAATGCCCGTCCCCATGACCGCCATCTGTGCCCAGACTTTCTCATCATCCCGAACAAACTGTCCCTTCAGTCCCCTCTCGGCAGCCGCTGAGAGACGTTCTGCTGTGTGCACAGACCACTTTGGTTTGTCCGTTTGTCCACTGGAGGGCCCGCCAGCCACTGCTGCAGCCCTTCCTTTGCGCTCTGTAGAGACGCCACCCGGAAGCGGGGCCGCCGCGTCTTGGGGTGTTAGCTGGGTTTCACTCGGGGAGGAGCCGCCGAACCGTCTTCCGGCCCAGCTGCACCAGTTGGCGCTCCGCTTGCAGCGTGTGAGGCTCCCGTTCTCCACGTTCTTGTTCACACGTATCTTCTGTGGCTTCGATGACAGCCATCCCAGGGGTGCGAAGCGGTGTCTCGCTGCGGTCTGGGTTCACGTTTCCCTGATGACTGATGCGGTGGCGAGCAGGGAGTTTTAACGTTTGGGGGAATGTCCGGTCCCAGAGATCATGGCGGCTGCTTCCGGGGCCAGGGCTGTCGGGGTGGACGGCAGTGGGCCTGTGCTGTTTTTATGCACTTGGGGGTTTTTCAACCAAAACCCGTATCACTTCTCTAGTAATCGTTTTTTAAGCAAAATGCTTAGTTTTTTTGTTTTTTTGTTTTTTTTTAATTTTTTTTTCAACGTTTATTTATTTTTGGGACAGAGAGAGACAGAGCATGAACGGGGGAGGGGCAGAGAGAGAGGGAGACACAGAATCAGAAACAGGCTCCAGGCTCCGAGCCATCAGCCCAGAGCCTGACGCGGGGCTCGAACTCACGGACCGCGAGATCGTGACCTGGCTGAAGTCGGACGCTTAACCGACTGCGCCACCCAGGCGCCCCAAAATGCTTAGTTTTTATATAAACGTGTCAGAGCCGGAGTGGAGCTGATTGAGCCAGTGTCCTGCCTGGATAGTTCGCAAGGCGGGGCCAGACTGGAGGCTTCGTTCTGCACCCCCCGTTAGAAGCTTGACAGTCCTCGGAAGTGAATGTTCCCCCGCAACCCCTAGCTGTCTCTTCGTGCCTCGAGTCACACAGGAATCCAGTTTAACTGTCGGACACGTGGGAAGAAGAACCAGAATGTTCGACTTTCTTACCGAGACACAGCCACTAGCCGACCACAGGATGCGGTTCAGTGGGCTGGGTAGTGGCTCTGGTCTTAGAATCTAGCCGCAGGCTTTGTGCGACCACAAGATGCGCTCTGAGCCTGGTCCCGGTCCCTCCAGAAGCTGCTCCTCCCTCGGGCCAGGAAGGTGGCTGCTGGAGCTGCAGGCCTAAGGGCCTGTACTGCTGCTCTCCGCCTCTGGCTTCACTCCTACACGTTTTGGCCCCGATACTGGCCGAAGTCGTTGGAGTTCACGACCATGCAAGCGAGCACAGTCTTGGCCTGCGTGTGTGACACGGGCCAGGGACTCCGGCCAGCTGCAGTGGTGTCCAGGTCACTTTTGGCTCTGTCTGTCTGGAACCGGGCCTCTCTCGTGTGAGGCCAGGTCCCGCCTCCTCCCACAGAATTCAGTCGTTACCCACTCAGGGATTTGTAGTAGCTCGGGAGGCTCTCCCGCGTCTCGCATCTGAACACAGGATTTCTCCCCTTCGGTCTTGTTAGAAGAGCAGCCCCACAAGGACAGGGGCCACGATGGCCTTGTCTTGTCCTCCATTGAAACTGCTTCATTTTTCAAGAAACCTGTTTCTTAGGACAGCTGTATTTGTTAGGAGGTTTTACATTTCATTTCTTCTTTGAAATGGAACTAAAATCTGACCCCCCTAGAACTCATTTCCGATGGTCTTAGTTTTGCCTTTGCCGAAACTGAATGCTTGACGAATATCACTTACTCGGAACTTTATGTTTTAATGTCATGTTAGAAGATCAGCCACTTATAATCTAAATCTGACAATCCGTCAGGACTTGGCTGAAGTAAACCGTGGTATGCGTATACAGCAAAATATCGTATAGCTTCAGAATAAGCCATAGAAAGACCTCTTGCCATGCACGTGTGTTCCCAATGTTACCCGTTCACTGGTTCATGAAAACAGCCATGGAGCCCCCTCTCCAGGCTGAACTCTGCATCAGGAACCAGGAACACAAGGGCGAGTGGTAGCTGTGGCCGCTGATCCCCAGGTGCTGGTCTCCGCCTTGGGGAGACCGTCACAAATGAGTGTGCACAGTGTAAGCCTGTCACCTGTCATAACGGAACTCATTTCGTCTGATGATCAAAAGCCACCTTCTCTCGTCTGCATTTTTAGGGGATTTCTCAAGCCGCCAGATATGTGTACCAGCGCCTCATCAACGATGGGATCTTGAGCCAAGCGTTCAGCATTGCTCCCGTGAGGTTTTCATTTTTCTTTTCCTTCCCGTCGTTGTCATCAGCCGTCTGCTTCGTTTTAACCACGACACGTTCTGCTTTTGTCCCGCAGGAATACCGGCTAGTGGTCGTGGGACACAGCCTGGGGGCCGGCGCCGCGGCCCTGCTGGCCATCATGCTCAGGAGCTCGTACCCTCAACTCCGGTGCTACGCCTTCTCCCCGCCCCGGGGGTTGCTGAGGTACTTGTTTCTGGCAGGCGTGTGATGGGGTGCCGCGTGCTCCAGACCGGTCTTGGAGTTGTGATCTCGTGATCTCTCGTGCTCAGCCCGTTTGCTTCAAGCACTGCACAGTTGCAGGGACACCGAACAGCCTTTCACAGGCCTGCGTGAGCACAGCTCTGCTCTCCAAAAGGGCACAGAGCGGAGACTCTTTACACAGAGGGACGGCTCACATCAGATGTCCCACAGAATACGTTGTGAAACGGTCACAAGACGTCTGGGCAACCTCTGTCTCCTTACATGACAGAATTTCTTTCCTTGGGATAAGAATTTTTAAGATTCATTTAGCAACTTTCAGTGTTTGTTTATTTTTGAGAGACAGAGAGACAAAGAGAGACAGAGCACAAGTGGGGGAAGGGCAGAGAGAGAGGGAG